ACCAGCTTGTTGTAATATTCCTCCACTCATAAAGACTTCATTTTGCGATACTTCGAATTGTGATAACCTGAAGCATTGAGACATATGTTATTGTGTGTGAGTAACGTCTTCTCAAGGCCTTTTGGATAGATGATACAAATTCTCTGAATTGTGAATAAAAAATGTAACAAATCCTCTTATATCTGTATCTGTTTTAACTTTGATCATAAGCGATTTTGTTTTTTGTTGTTGTTAGTCTACGTCTAACAATATTCTGTTGCGTGTTATTGACTGGTGTGGGGAAAAGTTGGCATGGAGTTTTGGCATTTCCTCACCGAAATATTATTATATAATTGAGAATGCCAAAATGAGAGCGTCAGAAAGAGATTTCATTGACTTGGGTGATATGGATGATCCACATGTCGCCATTCTTCAGGTAGTCTACTTGTTCAATATCAATCTCACATGTTTTAATTATTGCAAGTGCACTAACCGCTTGCATATAGTCTGTTTTTGTGTGATATCATGAATGTTTAGGTTTTTTGATTACATAACTATAAATAAGTTCAGAATTGACAGGACCATCGTCATTTGCGACTTATCTTGTTTATTCTAATACTGATAAATTCAGTGAAAAGTATTAATTATTAGCATTTGAACTAAAAGTAGTCGAATGGTTACCACTCTTTAATGTGATTGTTATTGTAGGTTTCCAACCAGACTGAAAGCAGATCACCTTATTCTGGATTTATTTATCGTTTCTGCTAGTCATTAAGTCATTTACAATGTAAATAAATAAATAATATATTTGTAATATCTCGATGAGTAGAAAAATTAGATTTTCTGACGTTTCATGATCTAGTGTAAACCACTTCTTCAGAGAATAAATAACCAAATTAAAATTAATTCAAGTTTAAATAGTACAACGGAACAACACGAATATTATGTGATTAATCTATTCATTGGGACATCACAAATATATTATTTATTTATAACCGTCTACTCAATGTTCAGTTTAATCGAAATTATGAAGTTAAACGTTGGTAATGATGCCTACAAATGTAAATAAATATTTCGTCCTATAGTTTATACATCATATATACTACAAACCGAATCGAAATATAACTCTTATTTCCCTGTAAATCCTTTATGTAGTTATAGCACGAATATTTATATAAATTTATCTCATTCTCCTACAAATTAAATGATTATTTGATGTAAAAATATTTATTATCTTGGATCTCAACGCATTACAATCTAAATGCAATATCGGTCAAGCTGTCGTTTAATTAAAAATTAACACAACAGACTTATTTCTGTTAAGTTAACCAAATTTTCAAACTGTGTTACTTTAAAATGTTATTTCAGGGATGCCATATTTCGTATGAGATTGTTTTCGATATGTTCAGTTTTTGTCTTTCTATTACAGTACAACTACTTTCAAAGCTTTCTCTTTTTGTTCATCCAAATTTAACCTTACCATCAACCTTGCTTCTATGCTTATACGTTTTGAAAATATGTTGTTTAATATATAGTCTCTGAAGTCGCATTCCTCTTCTTTTTCTTCCTTTTTTACAGTGTTCGGTGCCAAATAAAAACTATACTCATCCATCAGTTCTGTCATCTGGCTAGACGTATCGTGAATAGTTTGACCAATTTTCCTTCAATCTTTGTGACTATCTATAAAACAATCCAACCCATAAAGTAGTGTTTTCAGATATTCTATCACATGTGGAATATATCATATTGTATTTATATAATTCACTGTGAACGTACTAATTACTTTCTGGCTGTAATTTTTGTACAATTTTATCGTCTGTTAACAATATGTAAAAGATGCTTATTTATTGTATACTTCAGAAGTGGTTTTTCCTTTGCTTATCGATACATATATTTCATCATATACTTTGTAGGCATTGGTTTTTTGTAACAAGTGTATTGCATCATTGTATAATTTACTTTCTCATTCTGTCGACAAATTATTGAAACTCAATTATCAAACAACACAGCGTCAGTTAATTCAACTTTAAACATTAAGTATTATGTTAGGACAAATTTTATGTTGCCCAAACCGAAGTGGATAGATCGAGGCTCAAATCTATGATACATTGATCAAAAGTCAGATCTTAACCATTAAGCCACAGCACCAATCTATCGTATAATATATATGATTTGACTTTTCTGATATCCGAACAAGATTCAGCGTAATTATAACACTTTAATGAATTATTGATAGCAATTCTTCCACTTAGTAAGAATAAACTTAGTAGTAATTGCTGATTATATTCATAACTAAATGAACATCCCTTCACTATTTGTTTAATTCTGAAAATATTTACATTGCTTCGCTATTATACTATTAATTCATCAGTTACATTTGTATGATGTTAAATGTTTGATATATTGCAGTTTAATAAAATATCAAAAATTGATATCTAAAGTTTAGTAATAATTTCGACAGGGAAACCCATCCATTTGAAAGTTCGTAGTTGAACTGATTTGAACTAAATCTGCGGTAAAAGTGGGGTTTTAAGTTAGCCATTTATCGCGGAAAATTTCGATTCATTTGTAGCTTCTTTCTAGCTATGTGTATACATGTATATAAAATGAAAATCCTACAACCTAATCTTTTTGGTCTTAATTCGGAAAAGATACGGTATATATTGAACTACTAGCAAATTGTCAGTAGTTAAATGATTTAGACGAAAAGCATATACCTTCTTTTTGATTGTACTGACTGCTTCATCACCTTTGTCATATATTGACTGGAAGCAGTATATTAGATCAGTAACCGTTTCTGGAAAGTTTTTTAACTACATGCTAGTGCATAACAGCCTTGCCGTAGAATACAAGTTGTTTTATGGTTCATGTTTCTGAATTGTAGTGAGTTATAGGGAAGCTTCATTATTTAAGCATTCAGTTTTACACGACAAGTAGGAGACCCAAAACGGTATGCTCATAATCTATTCCCAAAATTAATTTGTCGGTATGAGGTTTAGTTATTTTCGTAATGCTTATCACCTTAAATATAGTAATTCCAGAGATTTATCGTTTATTCACTTAAAGTCAAAACCCAAAGTGCTAATTTATTTCGAGTTACAAAACTTTGTTTTCTGTCCCATAGTTGATACTGTCTCCAGTTTCTACCTTACTCATTGCTTATGTCTGTACGTAAGCTAGTGATTGGAGGTAGTCGTTAGGAAGTCTTGGATTTCGTGCTAGTTGAGACGCGTTAGCAAATTGATTGGTATAATTAAGTCGCTATTGAGAAATAAATGACATACATGATACTCATCGCTAATCGGTCAACAATCTATTGTAAATATTTTTATGTCATTGGTTCGACAGTAGTTATCATTATGTACGTTTAAAAACTGACATATACTAGAAGTATATGGACCACGAAAAAGTCTTAATTGGGGCTCCATTTCTTTTTAATACACTTCAAAGAAGTGATTTGAAACAATTTTCTTGTAAATCCTTTGAAGGATTACGGTAATTAAGTTCAAATCAACATTTTGACCTATATGTAGCATGTATGTACTCTTTATCCGTAAGTCCTAGTCAGAGTATTGATCTAATTTTCATTCTTCTTGAACTCCATAATTTTGTCGACTTTATTTATATTTGTTAAACTAAACTATATTAAAATAAATGAATGATGAAAACATTACAACTGCAGGTGAAGTTGTTTCATCCTAATATGCTGATATTAATTATTTGTCAGTTTTTAATCTCTGTTGAGGAACCAAGAAATATTGAATATGTATTTCGTTCTAGCGCACGAGACTATCTGCAAACTAAACTGGACTCCACAGATCTATAAATCAATTCATCTATCTATCAATTCGATTGTTAATTACTTTTTAAGCATTTTGTAAATATCTCATCTAACACTTTAATTCTTATATTGAAACTGTACTGTTAAAGATACATGTGGAGAATTTAAGTGACAGTTATTCAATAAATATATATTGTCAACATGAGATGAAGTCATTAGTGACTTAATTTAAAAATTCATATTTCATTCTTTGTGCTCTTTTACAAAATTCAGGTGTTTTGTTCTCTGAGCTAGATGATTTGATTGTGGAGCTTTCATTATTCTTCTGAACAACATCATCAGCATAAACTTGAGATAGAAGTGAAGTATTCGTATTTCTGTGCTGATGACTAACAGCTTATGCTGTCGACCTCGATTGTGATTGGTTAATGTAGACATAACATGTCATTCTTTGCAACTTTATTTTGATTGTTTCTCCTCTTGATCTGATTCTTAGTCCCACATTGATCGACGATTATTGTGATTGGTTGATAAGTTAGATCAATTCCAATGTTTTTTGATTGACTTGGTTGCCTAGCTTCTACAAATTCTCTAATGTTCTTAGCATGCCCTCTATCCATGATTTCGAAATTTCCCTTTTATTTTCTACTGAACGAATACCAAACCATCCAGCTCAAACAAAAGAACTTCACCTTTGTCATCCACCTAAACTACACGTCTTCTCTACTAATCCAAATTCACGTCATTAAGAATTGAAGTCACACTGAAATAAATAAACAGTTCATAAAAAAGATTAGATAAAAGAACAAAAATATTAAAACCATATTGTAATTAGTTTTTTTTTCTTTTATGTTTCTTCAAGTGATTGGCATAATGAAGTAATATGGTAACACAGCTTTGGCAGAATAGATTATATTTATTATGTAATCATTAAGTGGGAAACATAAGAATAAGAATAGAAATGGTAATAACAATATTAAAATTAAATAAAAGCTACTGTAAACCATAATTTGTTTATTTGAAGTTCTCTTACTTTTTTCTTACAGTCCTTTTTTTATCTACGAAATAAAGGTGTTTCACTTGGTTCTTAATTATTATGAAAACGAAAATGTAATTGGCATTTAAATAGCTTTCTTTACTTAATAGTTTAAAGAATTATATATATATATATATATATATATATATATATATATATATATATATATATATATATATATATATATATATATATATATATATACTTGGGAATAAACATGTGTGTTGCAGAAGAAGCTGAAACTGTTCTTCTTCATTAAATTATTAACTAGGAAATATCATAACAAGAATAATGCAGATTAGAAAAGGCAAAATAGGAGTTCAACAGAGATAGTAATAAAAACATGAAGAACAAAATCAAGGGATTATTAATTTGAATAAGCATGCGGTATAATATAACATAAGTTTAATAATAATAATAATAATAATCACTTCAAACATCAAGTATATGGATTCATTATAGTCTCATTGAAGTATTTATACGACTCCTGTTGGTAGATAACGATAATAATGTGGATCACGTCGGGAACGACACAAAAGACGTTTAATTCTTCCCCTTAGTTCAGAAGTCTGACTACCTTCAGGATACACTAATCCCTTCCCATAGCCCTACAAATAAAATACAAACATATTATAGGAAACTAGGAGACTTTGGTTATAACAAATATTTTACTTACATGCATACTTATATTTCATATCTAGGGATAAGTTTAAAATTGTTAGTAGCTCATAGTAAATAGAATTATATCAGCAATATCCACTAACATTCTAGTTCTGATATCGCTTTTGTAAATAAATATACATTTTAGTGAATGCAATTGTAATTGAATACTTTTGCTTCAGAATTCTTCAATTTTTTTTCAAAAAAAATTCAATACTTTCACCTCACAAATGTAAGTTATTATTAACAAGTTTAATAATTCCAGTCACCCAACAATTATGTTTATCACTAATCATAAGTTGTTTTTTTGGTGTGTGTGTGTGTGTGTAGAACTTCATTCTTTCCTAATAGATTACTTATTAACTACTTATCTTGATTGTATTTTATGTAACAGTTTGAATATGATTGGTGTATATGGTTCGTTATATCAGACTATTATATTGTATATTTCTTTACATTACTGAGTGTATATGATATTATGAACTAAATCAATTACATATAAGTAAAAACATTTCCCTAACTGTTACATTTAAACAATTATGATGAGATGGTAAGTAATGTTCGTAGAATTCCCTTTTCAAATTACATACATTTATATAAATATATGTTATATGTAGTTTATTTAATGAAATAAGTAATATTTCAAGAAATTTATAATATTTTCTATAATATCAGTTAAATTATTTGAATGGCTACATCTTCTCCCATTACATAGGCACATTTATAATACACATATTCATGCATCAAATAGGAATAGTTATCTATTCAATACAACATATATATATATATCATGAAAACTAACAGTTATTATGTTAGACTAAACAATATTGATTAATACTGAGAATTAAAATAAATTGTATCCATGCAAAATACATACATATTTCATGCATAAAATAATCAATGTTTCAATGTATTTACGATTGTTTCATTACATAAATTAAATTTTAACTTAGAATTATGAAAATTAAATAATTAAAACAAATGAGTTTTTCATTAAATCTATTCAATTGAATTGTCATATATGTTCGATAGTATTTTATTAAAATAATTAATATAATAGTAAAGGAGTTTTTGATATGATAATTACAAAATACATTATACTATTACTAATTATTTAACAGGTATCAACTTTTAAATTATATTTCGTTTATAAAAACAACAATTTTCTTTTAGTAAAGTTATTTAGGTGAACTATATATCATAGTTGTATCTTATTAGCTTCAGGAGTAAACTACCTATTCTCTCTCTCTCTGTAACTATTATTAATCACAAATTATTATTAGTATTTTTTCGACTATACCATTGTTGTCTTTGGACTTGTATAATAAAGATTTGTCTCAAGCTCTGATGTATTCAGACTTGGTCCATGTGATCTGTATCCATTTAATTCTGGCATTCTAGTATGGAACAAATACTCCATTTGTTTATTGATTTATATGACCAAAATTATCATCAAGGAAGTCACAGATATATATATTACATGCATTGCAAACAGTAGTTACATAGTAATTTAAATGGCATCAGAGCCAATAATAGTGCACAGGTCAGCGATTATTCGATAAATTTTGCGGTGATATATAATTTTACAACAATGATAGAGGAAGGTACAATTAGTTATATTAATATTATAAAGACAGTTACATAATTTAATGTATATAATTTTAAATATATATATGTACATATATATATATATATACGTGTAAGCATATATAGTTTATGGGAATAAACGGTATAATTGTCAATATCATGCAGGAGAAATTGAAAAAAAGGAGGAAAAAATAAATATGATAAAAAGAACAAACAAGAATCAATGAGTTATTATTAAGATTAAATGATTTTAGTGCTCAATTTTATAAATTTTCATTGGTTAAAAGAGATGAAGAACAAAATAGTATTACTTGGCTACGTTTAATAAAGTTATTTATTTTCATCATTTAATAACTTTATAAAAATACAATCCATCGTAATAACTGAAATTAGCTCTCTTATTTCTAGTAGTAGCAGTAAAATGAATTACCATTAGAAAACTTTTTTTTTGTTCTTTTTTAGTTCGTTTTTAATTAGGGATCGGTATCATCTTCAAGTGGCATTCTTATTGTTTATACTTAATATTATTGTTATTAATGAGTATACTACTCATATATGAAATCATTGATGTAGAAATATATGCGTTGAAATCGATAATCATCAATCATATTTTAGAAGAGATAATATAATAACTAAAGTAAATGAATTCAAGCCATTAGGTTGCAAGTTTAAATCCTCTATCATACCTTATTTAGTTTAGATAACCACTAGCGTTAACATAGATACAAATAGAACAAATAAACTCTGTATGATTCAAATTTAATAGATGGTATGCAAATATATAAACTAAATTTAATGAATAAATCACAGTCAACATGGAACTAAGGTAACAAATTTATTGAAAAACTTTCAATTTATAAATACATACAAATGTTAACAATGAACTAAAGCCAATTAAATAAACAAGCAAAACAATGAAAGATTTTTTTCTATTGTAATTTTGTTTTCTATATCATTTGTATTCAACTAAAATTTGTGCATTATGTTCTTAGGAGAAACTATGTGAATTGACATACATTTTATTTTGCAGTAAGAATGTGACATAAATATCTTTCAAAGCAAAATTCATTGAAAAATAAACATTTTAAGCAGTAGCATCATGCTCATCCGTTTTTTTCATAAACCAAAATTAGCAGTGTTTTTTTTTAAAATTTTCAGCTAGTCATATGCAGAACTCACGTGGTTCGACGGCCCATTCTATTGAAGAAAAGCGTGTTAGTACACTGCTTTTTGTTGTTGTTATTCTTATTAAAATATGTTAGTACTATGAATAAATGAGTTGTGGTTATATTTATAAACCTAATTCTTGAATAACTTGTTTAATTTCCTTCCTTTCAATTTATTATTTCTTCAGTCTTAATGAAGGGTCTTTTAACATATACAATGTTTCAAGAAGTCTTAGAACAGAAATGACATTGACTGCGGGTTGTAGAGGACTTAATTCAAAAAATATTGAATTCCTTATGAGTGACTTAAACTTATGCTGGTTATTGTAGAATCTGTATATCATGAGTTTGATTTCGTGTGGGATTTTAGATGTGTATATGTGGAAAGTTCTAACTTGAAACAAAAACAACTGTTCTGTTTTTATTGGTTCTCAGTTATTCTTGAGCTAGCATTCAGTCTTGATGAAATTTGTATTCAAATATACGGAATATCTAAACGTTATTTGTATGAACAATTACCAATATACAAGTAGTTTCTCATCAAAATAGAAACATGGTCGAATAATTTACCTTTCTGAATGTAATGAAGTGAAAATTACTAATAAACAAAATATATTACTAAACGTAAATTCATGTAGATCTACTGACATTTCACTTCAGAGTTGGATTTTCTTTCTAAACGAATCATTTATGAACTTGTTATAAATTAGTGTAATATAAAAAACAAAATTGAATACTTAATCATGTTTGACGTAACAGACTGTTATTAATCTTCTAAACGATAATATTTACAATATTATTTATCAGTAGTATTAAGAAACTTGATATGTTGTTTTGATTCTGCGTATGAATGACAACGTTTAGTGAATTGATGATAGTTTGTTATTATAAATCCTATTGGAAAAAAACTGGAGAATCATTATCATAACAATTGTTGATTTTCTTCTCAGTTGGAGTAAAACTCCCTGCTGATAGATAGTTTATCAGCTCTGATTTACGAATGAATGCCATTTAAGATTTTTTTTTAACCGATTACTTCCAGTCGGATATATTTTCATATTCATAAAATTTAACAGTTCCTTTTTCAAAACTGAATTTACTTATTAACTTAACAATAAATTACTAATTTATATTTTGGAAATTTTTTTAAAGTATGAGATTATTAAAAATGTTTGTAGGTTAGGATAAGATGATGGTTGGACGTAGTTAACAGGAAACCCTGGATCTAGGTTTTGCGAACTAAGAAGGACCTGACATACATGAGATTGATCACCACATAATGATCAGTCAATTGTAAACACATCTCAGTCCTACAAGAGACTACTCGTGGCCTAGATAGCTCAGTGGTAAAGTCTCTGATTATGAAGCTGGGTGACGCGGGATGGGATCCGTCAGGGATCATCAGTTCCCTCAAGATTGCAAATACGCCTTACTGACGAGTGCCAAGTGGTTAAATTATATGGAGTTGTATTCTCTCAGCTGGGTGGTTTATTTGTGAAGCTTCCATTATTCTTTCTATGACAAAACATATTGCAATAAATACTTATGGAGAAAACTTAATTATTCTCTCTTAAATGCCTATTTTTTAGAGAAATTCCCTAATACTTGAAAGATTTATGACTAAATTAACTATCTCAGAAAATATCTTTTCTTTTAAGATTTCAAGTTATTCAGCTCGAGTTTGACATCGTAAATCAGCATTGTCTACTTTATATTTAAAAACTGAAGCATATAAAATTGGAAACAGTAATAGAAAGATTTTAGTCAACAAAGCTATTCGATATATTAGCGCAATAGTGATAATGAAAGCCATAGGATCGATCTACAAACAGCCTGTGTAAGAATGTACGTAAGTCTTAATAAGTCAACAGTTAAATTTGTCAAAGTGTTATCTACACAAAAATTTAGGCCCGCTACAATGCGTACTCTCAGATAGTTTTTCCGTATACTAAATCCAATTTTGTGTCATTAGTTTTGATTGTTTTACATTAAGTATTGTGAGTAGCTTTACTTTTCCTCATTATCCTAGATGTTCTTATCTCGTAATTCATTTCATCTGAGTTTTATCTCTGTTAATTAGATATCCGAACAATTAATTACGTAATCAGATTGCACAGAATGAACCGAGATGATACATGTATGCTACATGGTTTTGAAACATCTCGTCTTCTTTTCACATACTATCTAAATGTTTGAGAAAGACTATTTTAACACTCTTCAATTATATTACCATTAGTAAATATTTTTAATACACTATTAACAGATTCAATTTCTCGTGAAATCCTTACGTTAACCATAACGATGTTACTATTACAATTGGTATATAGACATTGAAATTTGTTTTCTGGTTCACTATAAAGACCTAAAATTTTTCTTAACCAGAATTACAAACCTTCATTTTATTTTAAATTGTCCTATTTTGAAGATCACAAGATATCATCATCTGTTAACCACTAACGGAAAATTATTTCCAGTCCTTCAGGAATGTGGAAACTTAACATAAAACAATCATTAATATCTTTAAATAAAATAATGTTTAAAGCATCAAAATATTTAAAGTTGAAATAATTTTAAATTCAAGAAATGTACATATTCAATATTACTAATTAAGACTGGTTTCTTTTGAATAAAGCTAATAGTATTACTTAAAAAAATGAAATCGAACTAAATGTAGCAATGACTACTGATATTCTTCTATTATGGTGAGTGAGTCAGTACCTATGAAGCTGAATACTCGATCACACTTAACGTTTCCCTTTTTGGGGGGAGTTTTAGTTGAATTATTTTCACTTGAATTTTATGAAACTGGTATATATGCCTATTAGTGAAATTTTTCAATAAATTAAATATAATACTCTTTGTGAAGTAGGTTAGTGTGACAATGTCATGTTTATCAATCTATAATTTATTCTAGGAACTAATCATTGGAAACATTTAAATAATTAACACTGGCTCTGTAATCGTATCATGAACTAGACTGAAATATATTTTACACATTTTATAACTTTACCATCGATATTTTTGTATCAACTGTTTTTATGGATAGAATGTTAACACATTCACACAAAACAATAAATTATAGGAGGTATTTACACACCCATCATATAAAACTACTCTATGTATAGCATTCATATAACAGTAAATGGAAAAAAGTAAATAGCAATAAAATTTTGTTAGATAAGTCGTTTGTTAGAAGATACCAAATTCAAATATCTGTCCACTCAACGAACCTGCTTGCAAGTTGTTGATATTTTGATTCAATTCGATCTTGTACTGATGCAGTTGTAGCGTTCATATCAATTCCGGAGTAACGATCAAGCATTTTCCGATGAACATCTAATTTGTCATTCAATGCACGTAGGGATCCCCTCATTTCCCTGTAGTATTCAGGTGAGGGCAATTTGTATTCCAGTAAATTGTCCATACGACGCTATTGAATAGCGTGAAATTACATATATACGATGTACAATTATAAAAATATTTGAAAACTTATTAGGGAAAACTTAACAGAATACAGGGAAAATGTACACTGTAAAATTTAAAAAAAATCGTAACAAATCATATTAATCTAGTCGATAAGCATCAGTCTACATAATGGTTGTGTAATTAATGTTCATGTCACAGCCTATAAATAAGCAAGTGATATTGCAAAGTATTCACACAGTTTCATAATCTACAAACAAAATAAACCCACGCTGATGACCAATTCAAATAGTTTCAGTGAAATTCAATGCTTTAATTCAAATCGGATTTGTGTAAATTGTAATTATTTATTGATAACAATTACTACTGTCAAATCAGGTAATTTTTGTTATTAGTAATAACCAACTGGGTGGTCAAATAAATTTTTAATGTTTCGCAGTTATGTGTGATCCTGATCTTTAAAGGATATAATCTAGAATAGTAACAGAAAGAAACAAGGTCTAACAGTTGGTGAATATTAGAAAACATTAAGTGAACTACTATCCTGTCTGTTTAACATAAACAAACAAGATGTTTTTTTTTTCAACACATCAAAATGTATCTGAATAGATGCCTGAGTGAAATTTACATTGAGAATGAATAATTCAATTTGTGTTTATATTGGTTATATTTTTTTCAAACAAGTTGAATGGGATATTTATGACATATAGTCTTATTTATTTGAATGGCTTCTATGTTTAGCACAGTTGAAATAAACATTCATTGGAGTGTCTTGTCTTTCTTCATACTTGCTAAAGAATGTTTTGAAATTAATGTTCTCACTACTGACCTTATGTTCACTAACTCTATCAGTCAGATATAGTCTATTCAGATGTTCAGTTGGTGTTACAATGTAATGTCATGCTTTCTTCTTTAATGAAATAGTTTTTGAGTACTATGTAGGAATGATATTTATGTAATGTCTTCTGAACTTTGAAGTCAGCGGAACATTCTCTTGAACATTTATATAATATAGGAAATCCTCGTTTTTTTAAAAAAAATATGAAACTAAATCTGATAAGTGATTCATCTTCAATAACCAAACATTCATGATCAAATATTAAAGCTTAAAGAACTATTCAACAATCGTGTAAAATTGACACGCTTTACAAGATACGTTTCATCCAAGTCATTTTGTAAAATATTGCAAACATTGTGAGACCTATGAACAATTGTACAGTATAGTGTATCTCGTGAAAAAAAATTCACACGATCAGCATTCAATAATAACTACCTCTGAATTATTGCTGATAGCTGAACTCATTTTGTATCAAATTTTAGGTATAAGTAGGAAAGATTTTAAAACCAGAATTAAGACTGAACTTCATTTATAAATTGAATGACATTTTAAGTTTGTATATTAAATTACACACTTGATCAGATGCCAACCAACAAAGAAAAGAAATTGAATCTTTAGTTGAATCATTAAACAGATAATTAAATATAAGTAAATGATGAAACTGATTATATGTAACATGAAAAGTTTATCAAAACACCAACCAAGCGTTTTTTTTAAAATAGAAAACAACAACAGGAAATTAAAAATAACTAATTATCAATCGAATATCTATTTCTAGAACAAGAATATGTTATGGGTCATTTTAATCCATAGGATGCTAATAGATATACACAAATTATTGAGTTTAACTAGTCCGATATATATATTTCAATAGAATAATGAGAAGACGGAGTTTATTTGAAAAATGTGATGTATTTGCGCTATACATTTCGAACAATCTGGTCCGTTATGTATGTTTGAAATGTATTGTAAGAAAATGGCTAAGTAGAAGTGTGCTCGTTTTAACATTTAATGTTTTCTAAATGAACACATTTTCAATGAAACTTCATATAGAGATATTTGTATGTTAGTTGATATTGAATAAATTCTATATGACTATTCTCAAAACACTGGTAAATTCATAAAGAATCAATTATGAGATTTATTGAAAATATAACATTTAAGTTTAGTAAAAGTCAGTCATATAAAGAAGGAAACAGATCGAGTATGTAATCCTGAATATTCAAAGGTAACAGAACAGTTTGCGGATATATATTAAATGTGAAACATATTCAAATATTGTCGAGCTTGTAGAGGATTAACTGATGGGTTTTAAAAAATGATCGTAGAATAATTAATTACACAATCCACTTGCTTCAATCTTAGATATGTCTTATAGCCATACTTATTGGTTTCATTACCCACCTGATCATTGTCATACTTTGTTGAATGTATTTGATTGTGTGTCTTTAAAATTAGGGATATGCGTTCCTGAATTGTATTAATTACTACAAACAAAAGTTTGTTACCATAACATTTTTCAACTAATTTGATAATTAGTTACTTTTGATAAAAATCAGAAGTGTTTTCAAATAACATTGAAACACAACAATACAAGAAATTATCAACTATATATACTTACAGTGTTTCTTTAAAAAGAAATATAACAGAAGCTACCGTTTTTAAATAGATTTGTCATATGTGCCCATAAAGGTTAATAGTATATCAATTTGAATGAGAAATGGAGATTTTATTATCAGAATGGGTTTTGTGGAGATTTTTAGAAATTTCAATGGTTGAAATCATGAGTCAGTTGAAGCTAGACCAGCATGGAAAACCTGGAGGCACTGGACGGCCGTTTCGTCCTAGTATGGGACTCCTCAGCAGTGCGCATCCACGATCCCGCACCCCGCGGGATTCGAACCCAGGATGCCGGCTCAGTGGTCTAATGGTTAAGTGCTCGCGCGCGAAGCCAGTAGGTCCTAAGTTCAAATCCTGCGGGGTGCGGGATCGCGGATGCGCACTGCTGAGGAGTCCCATACTAGGACGAAACGGCCGTCCAGTGCTTCCAGGTTTTTAGTGGTGGTCTAGCTTAAAATGACCCATAATTTCAATCTGTGAAAATTTCTGAAATCTCCACAAACCCCTTCTGATATAATTGTAGAACCTGAAGAGAATTTATCGAAAAGAATATTCTTCGTTCAAATACCAGTCTTTTAATATGACGAGGATCTTTAAACGATTTTTACTACCGTTAAATTGTATGATTTAATTTCTGTATTTAAAATTAACCATAACGTTCTATGACCGATTCCAAATATTCAGTAGAGAAAAAAACTGAAAAAAACGTAACTTTTTTTCATTTTTTCGAAATTCACCTATTCAGATGTGAACGTATAAGTTATGTTTTAGAATAGAATCTGTTATTATTTTCCATCCCTTAACAAATCTTTATTGATTTATAGTAATTGATTTGACTTTATTTGAATTAGTTACTATTTGGGTTTAAGATCTATATTATATTGATCAATGTTTTATCTGATAAATCTACTTTTTTTAAAGGTCATTTGGAGTAAAATTTATTTAAAGAAAATCTTTGGTAAGCAATGATAGTGCTTTTAGTATATTTAGAAAAGTACAAAACTGTTGGTAATTATGTAAGAAAGGTGTTATAGAAGAAAAGATAGCATAAAAAAATATTTGTGAATTTTCGTAACGTACATCGTTTATGACACTGGTTAAGTGAAAGAATGTTAAATGTAGTATATTCTGTCTATAAATCTATTTAGAGTTGAATCAACACATTTTTATACAAACATGATAACTTCATTATATACACTTTGTGTATTTCAAGCACTGAAATGTACACCTCTGGAATGATTTCATCAAGGCATTTCTATCAAAACTGTAATTCTCAATCTCTTAGACCTATAGATGTTGATAATTTAGTGTATAGCTAAAATATTTATAAGACATAACTGACTGTTTTATGGTATGTGTAATATTGAATTCAACAGAATGAATGTCTAATCTTTTATTTCAATGAATAAATCATCTGTCTTGTTTTAAACTGTTTAGCTTCTTTACAAAGTGATCTAAATTAAATTTTATTATTAAAGGCTGAAATGCCATGCTAATATGGGTTCAATTTGACTTTGTTTTACATTTAATTCTAGTATAAGAGGTAAGAAGCTTACAGGTGAAGTTCCGGAAAGTTCTCAAATAACAATACTGACCAATTGATCAAAACATAATAGAAGTGATCAGTTGTAATAAACTTATGAGAATTAAATTATGTACAAATTGAAACGTATTCAAAGTCAAATACATTTTGATTATTACAGTATTCATAAAAAAACAAAATAAAAGTTAACAAGATAATCAATGAAAACTTACTTCAATTCGTCTACGCTCAGCTTGCATATCACTAGACAAGTTACTATACGAACCTGAACTCGACAATGGTCTTGTAGTAACAATTGATGGATAATAATATGTATATCGTCTTGGTCCAACACTTGTATAAGTAGTTCTTATAGGTTCAATATTACTCTAAACGATTGAAGAAAAGTCAGGTGAAAGATTTTAATAATAATTAGAGCTTCAATAAATATACTCTGACTTAAAATAAGGTTACATTGAGAATTTATCTATTTTCCCTGTATTTATATACGTTAAATTGTAACTATTCTAAAATTCGCCATTATGTAAGTCAAAAAATTGTAAACTGACAACTAAAAAATTAATCTAGAATTTGCCGTATATTTTTATAGAATTTATTTGGATGTCAAGCAAAGATGGATAGTAGCTAGCAATGGAGTCGAGGATGCGCCTTCCATCGTATTCACGACTCGTCAGCTAGGTGTACCTGTATCCCAGAGTCGATGTTCACTTTGGGACTTGAAACCAATAACATTTGCTTCAAACGCCATCACGTTATTCATTTAGCTACTGAGTCCTGATAACCACCTGCTTGTGCAATGGAGTGAAGTTTAAATTCACTTGATATTGTTTGCTTTTATCTTCTCATTGTTGTTTAGGACTGTATTTGATCAGTGACAATAAGAGACTGATCAAATACAGTCCTAAACAACAATGAGAACATACAAGCAAACAATACCAAGTGAACTGAATTAGAATATCCTTTTAAAACTCAATAGGATGCTTTATGAATAGAATGTTTTGTGAATCGATCAGAAAGAGAAGAATAAAGATTATTGATTAGATTTTATTCGTGAATGATTTTCAAGGACACACCTATTCCATAAATAAAAAAATATTTAATACGACTGTTATGTTGAATGTTATATAATAATATACCCTTGTGGGCCAAGGTAATTTTACATTGGTTTTTAGGAGAACCAGACACCATCCGGACTTTCACGTAAAAACCCAAACAGTACAGCTCAATTTCATTTAGTGGGGGAACCAGACACCGTACAGGCTTTAACGTCACAATCTGAATAGTACAGCTCAATCCTGTGTCACAACCACACAGGTAACAAGCGCCCTGGTGGACTATGTTGAATATATCTTATATACACACAGATGTATTAGTTTACTTAGATTCAATTAGGAATTTTTGTTCATTTGTTTTATCTTTCGATATCTATTAATTAAAGAGAAATTTTACATGATCAAAAGTTAGATATAACTCTTATCACTGTGTAATAATGATAAAATGTACCAAAATGTGTTTGTTTATTTGTTATTTGATCAACAAAATGTCATTCATTTGAAAATTGATAATCTTGTTCAATTCAGTAATTAATATGAATTTCATATTGCAATCATTAAAACAAAAAAACATTTAGAAATAAGCTGACTTCAAATGTCATACGACATTTTAAGTTTTGTCGTATGACAACTAACAAAATTTCATTCATTCTTTCATTGAAAATAAAGTCGAAATAAATCTATGGAATGTTGTATTACAGTATTTAAACAAATATGAATGCACAATGGTAAAATGTTATTTTTACTCTTTTTTTTTTGCAAAAATGTGAAGGTGAGAATTAGAATGTAGAAAACGACTTTTGCCTTTTTTTTACGCAGGATTTAATATTGATTAACTTTTTTTATGTATTTAATCTTAACAATTGGGATAAATAAATGATTGTGTTAAACATATTGAATACTCGTTTCTTTTTGTTTAGATAGTATATAATAAACAACTAAACTTCAAACTTTAAGCCTAGTTCCAATCAGGAACTCTTAGACAACTATTTGGGTTCTAACATTGGTTCAACAAGAAGATGTTGTGTAACCATTCGGATGAATTTATGTGTTGAATTGCTAATTTGTATACAGGAAATCCTATAAAAACTTCAATAAATATATTAATTATGTAAACTTGGTTTATCTTTTGACAGATTACTGTTATCGTTCCATAAATTGTCATGTTACAAAATCTGTTTCTCAAATTGTTAGTAACTTACTAAATTCGTTTCAATCATTTTAACAATTAATAAAAGTCGTTTTTATATCACATTTTTCAGAATTGACATGAACCATTAGTTCTTGAGTAGTCATAAAAGGTTTTAACTATGATGAGAGTTCTTGTTTGTGGTTTGATAAAAGCATTCACAACGTAATTATAAAAACATTCTTTGTAATTTTAAGGACCTGACTGACCGTTTAAAAATATGGGGTACATTCACTTGGATTAAAAACTATTTTTTAACAACTTGACCTTCAGATTCTACACACATATGTCTATAAACATTTTATTACAGTGACCAGTAAAACATCGGATTATATTTCTCAGCGGTAGAACTATGTGGGTAAGTGTGTAATATTTTTAGAATAGCTATTATATTAAAATATTGGTAAATTTGTAAATGTCGAATCTGATGAGAAAAATACTGATGTGAATTGTTTTGGCTTATATTTCAGTAATATATCAATGGTGCATTCTAATTATTCATGACAACACTGTTTTTTACCTGTCTACTTTAAATAACGGTGTAATCAACATGAAATTTAAATGTTTTGATCTTCATGATATATGATTAACTCTAATAAGCGTTATCAATAAACATTATCAGTGAATCTATAAGTTTCGTCAGCAAGTCAGCAAATACTATTGTAACCTACGAAATGAAAAATATTTTTACATAGATTGATTGGTTTTGTAACCTTTCAAAGTTAACAGTAACCTGTCTTAAAATGTGGCACTTATAGGTTTAGTGTTTTTGATTAAAATATTAAAGAATATCACTAATATAGAAATTCCTCTTTCATGTATAACACATAAGTAGATAATATATATACATTGATTCTGTTTTTTTGTGTGTAACCTTTTCAATGATGATAAAATACTTTTTGTTAGGTATGCAGAGGAATATACTAATAATTATCGTGTTAAGTCAAATGGTGTCCTTGGACGTTAAATGTACATTTCCTATTGGTCGATATTTATTTCAATTGTTAAATATTGTGTAAATGTTGTTTTCTATTTTATGGTACGATGTGGTCTGCTTGATTAGTATATAGACAGAGTATGTTTGAAATATAATGATTCATATCTCAGAGGCTGTGACTTGAGTTATGGACTCAACTGGCTGGGCTACACAGCGAAGCAGGGTCAATCGGAACTCTAGGTCGTTCATTACGTGTTTCACGTGTAACTGAATCGATCGATATAAACGCTGCGTATATAATCTGCAGTCTCACATGCTACAACACTTTTATTAACTATTCACTACTAAAAATAACTGACAATAGTATTGGTAAACTTTAAAGCGTTCCTGGGGAATTCGATATCAAGTAATTTCTTTATCACTAGTTAGAATTCTAAAGAAATCCGTTTAGATGATAATGTCCACAATGCTTGTTCACTGAGTAGTTGTAAAAATATAAATGATGATATAAAGCCATTTAAGAGAGAAAGGTAATATACAGTAATACGTATTATGAAACTTGAAATTTACATTTCCGGGTTTCTGGGTTTAAAATTTTCAAAGTGATTTATCTTCTAATGTTTGTAATTACACGCTGGTTGATTGTTATGATATCATTATTCATGTAGTTTATATGGCGTTTTATATTTTGAATCAATTCCACTAACCAGGTTAAATTAATAACACAAAAACTATTGAAAGTTTTCGAATGAAATGATTGGATGATACATGCTAAAAGACATGATGTACAGTAGTAGTATCAGCACGGGGAAAATAGTACATTAAGTTACTATGACCTTAAAAAGTATGAACTACTTACATATGTTGATGTATAATAAGGTGTTTCATAAATATACCGATTCGTTCTGTAATTTCGATGTACAACAGGTGGCAATCCATAATCTGTACTAGTTATTGTTGAACGATACGTCCCAACTGCTGACGGTGGCACTGAACCCAAACGACTAGTATGCAGTGGAAAATTACGGCTATATGATGTATGGATTACACGTGGCATACCGTTCTCCTGTAATTAAGAAAATAGAACAAAATGATTCGCATAAATAATTATAAAGACAGATTAAAGATTATAGAAGGTTTATACTTTAAACTAATTTCCTTCAAAATAACCAATGAAAACGTTAGGAACTTATTGATAAGAGCATCAAGTAAAAACCCTGACCCTGGGTTTTGGGTTAATCGGCACTTGTCAGCAAGATGTATTTATAACCTTTTGAGAACTTATGCTATCTGTTATATTTGATTCAGATGGAGTTTTGTTCTCTGAGATGAGTAGTTTGGTCGTGGATCTTTCATCATTCTTCTCAACGACATCATAAGCACTAACTTCCACCTAAGCTACAAATCTTCTCAAAGGTTTGATTCCATTTACCCCAATACAACAGACAGATGAATAGAATCAATAGTTTAAGCATCAACTGATCTCATGTTGGTATGTGATGTTTATATAAATTCATTTACTTCGGTTTTATGATGAGATTTCATAAGATAACTCTCAATAAATTATATTTATGATCAGATCAAAGTTGAAAGTTGATATGATGTTTAATAAAAAAGAAGTTTAATGGCAGTTTAAAATAGAAATGTACAAGTTCTCAATACACACAGGGCTTTATCTTTGAATGAGAAAACTAGATTAATTGCATCAGATGCTAACAATTTCATATCAAAAATTACTAGAATTAATAGTGAGACGTTACATCAGTAGATAAGAAAATGTTGTCTTCTAAATACTATTACATTGACAATGTAATTGAAATAAAAGCAAAGCAGAGCATTATAATGAAAGCAGTGAAAAATAAGACTCTGATGCTATAAAACCATTGGCTCTGTTGCAATGATCCCAAAAAACTAATCTTTAAAATGTTCATTTTCAACCAACGTTTTATCCATAAACACATAAAATATTATATTTAATATCAAGAAGGAGTTTTTGAGGATATTATAGTAATTTAATGATTGAGATTATGAGTCCATTGAGGCTAGAACGCTATGAAAAACCTGGAAGCACTGAACGGCCGTTTTGTTCCATTGTGGGACTCCCCGGCAGTGCGCACCCACAATCGCGCCTTGTGAGATTCGAACCCAGGACTTATCGGTCTCGCACGTGAACGCTTAACCTTTAGACCACTGAATCGGTAACCCACGGTGTTAAAGTCTAACTTCAACCATTCCACGAATTTGAGCCACGGGTCCACCATTGTCTTCAGTGAGTTACTATCTCACAACAGACCCGATTGGACTTCAGTGGTCACTGTTTTATGTTGGTTTTTGCTAAATATCATATCACTGCATCTGATATTTTAAGTTCCAATACACATATACATCAAATTTTTAATGAATTAAATTCTTTTAATCTGTCCTGTATATTTTTACTAGTTTGTAAAATACTACTGAAACTGATTACAAGATTGTACAATAAATGATTGTTTTTTTTAGAAAAAAACCATTATGCTAATTTACAATTCATCTTTAATTGTATCAGTCCATTATAAAATAATGATTTGGAATTAAATAATCTTTATATGTTTACATTCCCTTACGTTGGTCACTTCAGAAATAATTAAAATGATCATGTTTTCTAAGTTTAATTTATGAATATGGTGTATATCACTTATGCTGACAGATATAAGTAGTATGTAACACTAATCATAAGTGGAATATCTGTTAGCAGAATATTAAATTGAAATGAACAAGAATGAAAACAAAGATCTGTTGCAGTGATAACATAATTATAAAAAAACATAAAACATATAAAGAACAACTGAAGGGATATTTTATGAAATCACTGTGTATTTGGCATGAAGTAAATAAATTGATTTTCCCCACCTAATTTATTATCACTACAGTAACATGTTAATTATCTCTATTGAATATAAAAAACTAATAATATTCAGTTAAATAGAAGTTATCGCTTTATATATTTAAAGTGATTGATTAAATTAATTTATTTTTAATTAATGAAAGTAGTTTCATGTTTCATCAATATTCACTGTATATTTAAACCATATACTACGTTATACTCTGTTACGTAAGACAATTATTATTATTATTTAATAAGAATATTAAACAGATTCTATCGATCTTTCATTATCATAACCCTTTTTTTATACAAGAAATATGACAAAAAACAATTGTTATTGCTAAACAGCCATAAAGATAAACAAAAAAGAACATTTTCTAAGCAAAACATCTAGTTACTAAGCTTTATTTCATTATGAACATAAAAATTAGTCAACATTCCATAAGACTATCATAAATGTGTAATACAAAATGATGATTGTTGTTTTTTTCTGAATGGAAAACAACTTTTCAAACAAAAAAAAGAAGAAATTGTGTAAACTAGTAACAATTTAAACAACAAATGAATTGAATATAGAAACTAATATCGAATGAAACTATGTGAAGAAGTCAAATTATTATTGAAGAAAGTATTTTTTTTAAAATTGCTAATCTTAAAACAAGCGTAAATTATGTAATATGCACATTGATTAACATTATTATCATACATATTCATCACATACATAAATGAAAATAGTTTCTATGAATAATGCTTATTAAAATGTATCAGTTAAATTATGTTAACCGAGTAACTAGGAGGAAAAACGTAGTAACTAATGATTACAATTTTCATTTGAGAAAAAAAAAACTGAAAAACAGAACAAAACAAAACAAACGTCTTTTAATAATGAAACAGGATGAAAATAAAAATCAATTTAATTTCCTTGGAATATTTTTTTTTGGATTTTTATTTTATTATTTTAGTCATTAATGCACAAAAAAGCGCAAACAGTTTAGAAAAAAAAGAAATAAAAACATACACACATGCACTTGGATACTTTGCAAAAATGTTGATATCATACATTCAAATTTCATGTTCATTTTACTTTGTCCTCCTCCTCCTCCCCCCTCCTCCTCCTCCTCATCATCATCATCACCATAACAATTGAAGCGTGATGAAAAAAAAATAACATGACCGAAATCAAATAAAACACTGTGAATGATGAAAATTTGTTGTATTGGTTCTAGATGTGTTTTGTTTTAAAAAAATTAAATGTTATTTTAACACTTGACTCACATCATCTGCACCATCGTATAGATTACTTAAATTTTGAAGAGATCGATACTTCATATAGACTTTAGCTTTCTGCTCCGAAAAGAAATATTAGGAAAGATGATGATAATAATAGTTATATTTATAGAAAGGGATATAACAGGTGCATTTATTAGAGTTCCATGTCGATGTAAAAATAGTATTATAAGAGTCATTAAATATGTTCTTTTCTAGTATGTACAATCAAGGATTGTGTGAATGTTAGAATAGTGAATAGTTCCATTGATTTCCTCTCTTGGTCATAAAATAAATAATCGGTTAATGATTCAACATTCCGTACTACTTAGATTTGACACCAACTACCCTAATAATTTAAAACTGGGTATAACTAATGTAAGATCAGAGAATAATGAGTTTAAACCTGGTTGGCATAAAAAAAAACACATCCTAATGTATGTCGTAGTTGATTTACATCGATTTATAAAAGTAAATATCTTATTTTACAGATAATTTGCTCTTCTTAATAAATGTTTGGTGGTGAACAAAGCAAATCTATAGTAATGTGATGTGATTAATCATATTTCCTACGAATGTCATTGTATCCTAGTTAACAACGACAATACATTTTCTCATTAGCTTAGATTGTTGTCTCAAGTAATTCAATATTAATTACTATTTTAATTAGTAGTAAATGTATATAATGTTATTGCTAATTTACTTGTAAACTAAAATCTGAATAACTGCTTTCACTGTTACCCTCACACCTTTATCAGAGTTTATGAATAAGTGCCATTCATTTTTACCATTAGTTCTGATCTCAATGAACTGAGATTTCATAAGTTTACACTATGAAGTTTGGGATAATCCCTGTTTTTTTTAATTATTATCTTGAATTGAAAAGCGAATATCTTTATGATTCGAATTAATAATGGCTCATCTATTCACTTTTATTTTATTAATGTTGATATTTTTTCCACTATTCAATAAACACAAATTGACCGATTGAAATTTTCAATTCATTCAAATCTTATTCAATCTTTAAACATTCTTATAATGATTATAAAATATGTCATTTCTTTATTCTTCTGTTAAGAATTTTAAATATTTAAGTTGAATTTCAGTTTCAATGAGAAGAACAAACAATTCTGTCAGTAATGAAGAAGGAATTTAGATATTAACTTATAATATTAAACTTTGAAAATAAAATAAAAATTGTCGAAATACCGGAGATAAAATATGTTGTTTTGGCGGTGAACTAGCATGTAAGTATGATGTTGGTAAAATTTCATTGTTCATAGGCCTGTTGACTTCATAATCACGCCAAATCGTTGGTCTCAAATGAGGTCGATAATAACCGTTTGATTCTGGAGTTTGGTATAAACTACTGCCTGCACTGTTATATATGGAATATGGACGAGAATAGTTGGACATGGATTTACCAACCAAAGTGACTTTATTAGGTTCATTATAGGCATTTCGCTGAGTGGAAAATGAATAACGACGCCGTGGAACACAAAGTGATCTTCTTCTGGGAAGTTGTGTTGAAGAATAATAAATCATTGGATAACAGCTAGTTCTAAATGGTGTTCCGCTTAAACTTCGACGTCTTGGTACCCAATCCATTGGCGGTGGATAAATATTATTTGAACTCTATAAAAGGGGTGGGGGGTGGGAAATCATTGATCTATTCATTTATTTTTTCAAAAGATGATTTTTTTTGTGACAAGATTAGTTTTAATTGATTGCTTTATTTTTGTAAATTGTTAGATACCATGGCACTCATAATAAACTCATCTATCAGGCATAACATCAAAAATTGCAATCAAGAAAAAGTCAGTGTTAGTAATAATTTAGAAGAAATCAAAATATTATTAAAGTAATATCATAACACCAGTTATTTTTATTGTTAGTGATAAGTAAGTAGACTCCACTCTGAGAAATAAACTAAACAGAACATATAATCTAGATTAGTATAATTATTACTAATGTGTGTTATATACGGTGAAAGTATATGTCAATTAGACATGCTCTATTAAACTGTACGTTATATATGAAGTTTTACTTAGCCTTCTTCACATTATTGGGTATCAAGTAACAATGTAATTTGAAATCCTGTCAGTTTTTTTTTTACAGTGAATAAATAATTTGGAATTGTGTTCGAAGGAAAACAACAACACTTTACCTTTAACAAGAAAATTACAGCATCACCCTAATAGCAGTTGACTTATATAACATAAACTATATTAATAAGGATTAGAGTTTATGGGAAAGAAAATCAGATTGATAAATTAAGTAGAATTTCTTAGTTCTAGACTATTGATTATTTTTCTCAATAAGTAGTTATTATATACGGAATTATTATTTAAAGAATGTATTGTTTTAAAGTTTCGACAAGATATCATACTTTTCTCCTTTTTCTAATCATTACCATGTTGTGTGCAATTTCAGTTGTTATCATGTTATGACAGTTTGTTTATCTGATACTAAAAATCCCTTTTGTTAACTTATTCAATATTTATGAAATAGTTTTTTAATGAATTACTGCTGTTCAAACAGCCGACTACAAAAAGGTATTGTCTTATTTAGTTTATTACGTTATGAAAAGTAGTGTAATGTGAAAACTCGGAAACTACTAGAAATCAGGAGACATGGACCAACTATCGCAATTCATTACTGAAGTTCTATTGAGAAATCTTGAATGAAACACTTTTATCATATTTGAACTGATTCAGCGATTACTAACGAAAATAAATGTGTTATTTGATAACTTGATCGATATAAAAAATCTTAACCTCTATATATATTGCAACTTAGTTATCTTAAAGTAACGTACTAGCTGCGATGTCTTTTAAGTTTATAGGTTTCCACTGTTACGAACTCCTAAACTAGAATAGGAATGTTTAACAATGATTTTAGATTTCATTTCAATAATCACTCAAAACTGTTTGTGTATTAATCTACTCTATCGGTGAACCTGATCAAAATCTCTTTTAAGTGCTTACCAATGACTTTTTATAAGAGAGCTAATAATAATAAGAATAACATACTTTACATGGGTATTAATTGAAAGTACATAACGGTAACATATTGTTGAATTGGAGAGAGTTTTATATATTTCATTGAAATACTCGATAATTACGGAGTTTGTAAATCTTATGGTTTATTCTTTTAAACCATACCTGAGTGAAAGATTATTAGCTGGTCCTAACAACCTTTGACTGGTCAACTACTAAAATCCATGGAGTTTGTTTACTTTAACATTAATTCTTTAAATGACGCTAATCTATGACAAACATTCATTACACTATACCAATTTTAAGAATTTTTATCATCAAGCCACATCTATTATATATCATAACTTCTGTCAGAAAGAAACTTATACAATATGTTAATATAATGTGATAAAAGTTTACTTTAAGTAAGATTTAAAATATGAATGTGCCGCAATACATGTCATGTTTGTATTTTGGTTCCTTAAGAATTTTACCTCTGATTCTTTCTTCTGTTTTTATGAATAAACTATTTGTCTATTGGTTGTTAATCATGAAAATTTTGTAATTCATTTGTATTTTGTATGTAAATAGAATCTAATAACAGTATAGTACTGAAGATTAATGTAGTAATCATAGTGTTAATTTTATATACAAATAGTAATAAACATAAAATTTGAATAACTTTCTAATCTACCCCACAACTTTTATATTATGGAGTTAATAAAAAAAAAGTAAAGAAGAAAACAATCTTGTAAAGAAATCTCATTATTCACATTGATGTTGGTCGATAAACAAAGAAGGTGTTATATATGCAACGGATTATATTTTTTTTTCACTTGAATTCTAGACAACTACAAAAAATTGCTCATACATGTTTTATGGGAATAACTGAATGGGAAAAAAAAGATTCAGTTCACATATTTTATTTTTTGAATATTTTGAAAGTTATTCGTTTATCAAAATCTAATTTATCCTCTTATCTGTTTAATGTTTCATTAACACTGAATTTGCTTGAAATTTATAACATCAACTTATTTCTGTTATATTTACTGAGAATAATTGTAATTTTCCTGGTGAGACTATATTTCATGGATGACATTTGAGTGACGCTGAAGTGATCTTCAGAGTGGACAACTACTGATTAGGACTTAATGGGGGTTATAAAGCAGTCGGAATTCTCATTTACAGTTGATCGTTAGGGTCAAAAATGAGATTTAGGGTTCTCATCTAGAACTGACTTCAGCTATAATACCAAAATTTTATTTAACCAAATGTATGGATGAATTTCGCTCCAAAATTCTTGACTCGTTATCCTATATCTGATTGGTTCGTCAATAAATTAGAGTCTCGCTATTTTCCTTTAAGTTTAACATTTTTTTATGACATAGTAACATATACTGCTAATAGACTTCCGATGATATCAGTCTATGATGTAAGTTGTCTTCAGTTAACATGGAATTTTTTCTTGTTAAAAGCTTGAACTATTAAACATGACTAAAACATTATATTCATTGTAACTTTGTTCACCCTCCCTAAAGCTTCTTTTTTCAATAAATTTTCGAGTAAAATCACTGAGATAAACTTTGTATAATAAAAATTATATACAGATAAATAAGTATCATCAATGTCTGTACTCTGCTTATGTTTATTTAGACAATATTCACCGTTTTCATGGTGATTTTTGAATTTCTTAATACGTCTGACATCGAGATGTAGTTATGTCTTTATATCAGGTAGGCTTTTAGTATAAAACGTAAATGCAAACAATAATAGTTTAAAAATTTGAACCAAATAATCTTTAAATCTAGCCTAATCTGTTTAGAAATTAAAAACTAATGATTAAAAGGATAAAGAACAATCCATTCCACCCTGAAGCGAATTTTGGATACTGCAGGTAGATTCCAATGAATCTCAATCATCATAAAGATGTATTTTGAAAGCTTACATCCTCTAACCCAAGAATTTGCTTTTAACTAATATCTTATGGTCATGCATAAATATATATACAATTTAATGTATTGTATTTGCCTGATAAGAGCTTTAGATATGTGATCATTTTTCCCTATTCTTAAACACTTAGTGTATACGGAACATAGAGTTGATATCCAATCAGCTTTGTGATATTGAATCTAAGTGTTTAGAGGCGAATACTGAGATGTACTGAAGCTGTAGTCATAAAAAGACTGAAAGCACATTCAATTGCACTGCTAAATTGTTAGCCAGAGAAATGTGTTACGTATCGTCTTTTCTCTAATCTCTTTGTTTTTCTTATTTTAAAATTTGTGAAGTTTGATCTTTTATTTTTCATATAGAAATATCTTCATAAGTCAATACATGTTCATTTTAGATATCCTAATCAAGCTGAAATTTAGTGGATTATAAAAAATTTGGACATTGGGCCAAGTCCATAACAATGATCTTATTTCTTTCTTTTATTTAGTGGAAAAAAATGAATATTTAATGACAGTGTGACCAGTTTGTTTTATAAGTATTGGGTTAATTCAACAATCAGTTCTGGTAAACTTTGTTTTTTCATTGCATTATTTTAATATAACAATCTTAGTCAATTCACAAATTAGTCAACCCACAAATTATAGTGACAAATAACACATACAATTGGTAAAAGCATAAGATGGTCGCATGACATCGCATATTGATTGAAGTTAAACACTAACACCATTAGATCCCGGTTCAGTGGTTTGGAGGAGCTGGGTTTGAATCTCCCCGGCGGGATCGTGGGTGCGCACTGCTGAGGAATCCCATACTAGTACAAAAAGACCATCCGGTGCTTTCAGGTTTTTGATAGTGGTCTAACATTGAACTGATCACGATTTCAATGGAATCCAGCAATCTCCAAAACCTCAAACTGATGATTCGTTAATTTTAATTATACAATGTAAGAGTAACCGTGTATATTTTATTTCTCAGCCAAATATTTCAAATTCATCATTAATATTTACAACTATATTATTCTTCCTGAAACAAATAGCTTTTTAAGTTATTGTTTCTAGTTTCTTAAAGTATTTAAAAATACTAATTTTATAGTTACTTCGTATGGGAAAACATTCAAGGTCATCATGAGACCTTTACATGTAATCACTAGCTATAATTAGTTTACTAGTGATAAATTCGTACATAAAGGCTTTGTGTTTTTTTTACCTTAAAAGTAATAACAAAAGTACATTTATGATAATATTCATATCACATTCATAATTTAGGGCAATTCGGAAGTAAATATCACAGTAAATTGTTTAGTAATTGTACATTGATTTTAGTGATATAGTCATATGACTACAAAAGGAAAATTTAGTTATTATCTTTTATAAACAAAATGTACTGTAAGAAATTACAATAATCTTAATGAATAGTTATCAATCATCAATGTACATTGATTATCTATTACCATTTTGTTTAAAATAATTATCATTATTTTCTAATTTCAGTGAAATCATCATTTCATTAATAATTTATGACATTATGTTTATTTCCTTAAGAATTATTAATATTCGAAGTGAAGATTACTTCTTAGGTTATAAGAATAATAGTAAACTAGAACATTGAAGTTTTCTTAGTTATAACTATTATCTGACCCATAAATTTTGTTCTTCCTTACCCCTTGATTAGTACGTTAACCTCATTTGTTATTTATTGTCGGAT